TTCCAGTATAAATATTACATTTTCATCTTAACTCCACCATGTCTCACGAATAAGGATCCATGAACGATCTCAAGAGTCACTCTTTTTATTAAGCATTTATTTAATCCTACATTTGTAATATTTGACTAATTCTTTTTTATCATATAATATACAAATATAAATGTACAATTTAACTATGCAACTTAATATTTTAATTGAGCTAAAGTGCATACTTTAATTTAGTATTAGAGTCAACTTCATGCCTTACGATTATTTATGTAGGTTATGATTCTTTTGTTCTTTCATGGTACATTGACACCCAACTAAAGCATCCTATTCGAACATTTTCCTAGTTCATCTTACCATGTCGTCCAATGTATGTATCTCCATTGTTTCCGGTGTTGTGTACGACCACCAAATTAAAGTTGATAAAAAGTTAGTAACATATACTAATCATATGCAAAGAATAAAAGACGATAGTCCTTGCGGGTATATAGTTCAGTTAATTTTTGGGTGATAGATTATACATAATGATACATGATTGAATTATGATAATTACAGTGTAAGCCTATAAGGAGTGATTAGATATTAGATACTAATTCTCTCAACTAAACGAATGTTGATTCACTATGATTTAACTCTTTCATAATTTTTATAGAACTGTAACATGAAAATTCTAGACCAGAAATTATGCTTTTTGCACTTATGAAATAAATAAAGGATGAAAGTGGGAGAGGGTAGATGTTGGGAAGATGGGAAAACTGAAAAGTGCAAAGAAGGTTGTATAAATCCTAGAGTCAATGCAGCTAGCCCTAACATGTCTTTCTTGTGTAACGTCTATCTTTTCAAGGTGTATCTACAATGCGTTTGGGACAGCCATAAAATGCTTTTAGAGCCCTAGCTATACCAAGTTTTCATACGTACTATTTAATTTGTACCTATCAAAACTCATGTCTAGCATTTTTTTTTTCTACTTGAACCCATTCCATGTTCAGTAAGCAACTACTAGAATATGTTCTATTAGGGTCAGAGATAATGGGTATCTAGTATTATTCGATCTATTGTCATTCTTAAATTGAACCCTACACTCTACCGTGAGTTCATGACCAGCGAAGTAAAACTATCATTTTTTTTAAAATTGAACAATCAATTAAATTATATTCTGAATACTTGCATGCTATAATTTTAATAATCTTATTGCCACCGTTACGTTCTTGCCACTTGAATCAAAAGATGACAATTTGTTTTAATTTCGTACCCAAACACATTTCATCCCTAGTTATGAATTATCAAAATAGTCTTATTAGAATTTCGGGATTAAGTACTCATCTTTAAATTGAACCTTACACCATACAGTTGCTAGCGAAACAAAATCATTAATTTTTTTGCATTATTAATTAATCAATTGAGCTACATCCGGAAGACTTGTATATTATTGTCTGAAATCAAAAAGACAACTCTAACTAAATTAGTCAGATAATTGACTGAATTTAGCTACACCAAGGGCATCTTCAAATTGCGATGGTTGATTTTTATGTGTATCAAAAATCAATGGGGATTATGAGAAAAAAAAAATGTATGTGTCTCCGTGAGGGTATGAATTAAAAGAGTGAGAGTATCCACGTGGTTAGACTGCAATAAGTCTGAGACAGCCTATGGGTCTAAAACAGTACAATTATGGGTCTAAACTAGTAGAGATTCTCGTCTCACTCAAAATAAGACGATGAGCGCACAGAGGGTCAGTGGGTGGCCTTTTCACTACTGTTTACACTTCAATTCTTGTCCTGCCTGGCTTATACTCGTGCTAACACCATCATATCTATCCCAGCTGCCACTACTAGTTTACTACTACTTCAATTCCCCCCCTTAAACTATGCATGCTCAACTTAAACCCTTGCTCTTTCTTACATTTGCAGGCAGGACACATAAATGCATGATGCATCCCTTCTATTAATTGCGCCTGCTACACACAACCTATATATATCAACTTTGACTCTCTCACATTCATCATATATATATATATATAGGCGGGTTCAGGTGCGGCGGTGTCTTACGGTGCGGTAACACCAATAGTTCACCAAATATGCACCATCAACGTTAGGAAATACACCATACAAAACAGAGTAAACAGAGCCCTGCATCACCAAACACACACCATTAGGTGTGAGTAAAAACACAGTTCGGAAATACACCATTGGGGGTGGTGAGTTATATGGTGTGTTTTTTTGAGTCTGTGGTGTATTTTGTGATGTTTTATTACATTTCATTGGGATGTGTTTTTATTACATTGTTGGTGCATATTGTTAACACTGTTGGTGTATTCTGAAATTTGACAGCACCGCCGCACCGTAAGACCCCGCCGCATATGAGCGCTCTTATATATATATATATATATATATATATATATATATATATATATATATATATATATATATATATATATATATATATATATATATATATATATATATATATAGGGAAGGGATCAGGTGCGGGTGGGGCTTACCGTGCGATTGTGCGAGTGGACGCACATTAAGCATTAATCTGATGTACTTAAAGTACAAAACACACATACATTAAGCAGTAAGTACATAAACAAAACACCTTAAGAACACAACCCCATGCACGTTAAGCACAAGCCTCACGCACTTTAAGCACAGAACTCAGACACCTTTTAAGTTTCAACAACTACTCACATTAAACACAAATCCACACACGTTAAACACAAAACTCACGCATCTTAAGCACAAGACTCACGCACCTTAAGCACAAAACTCATGCACCTTAAAGTTTCAACAACAACTCAAATTATGTACATACTCATGCACATTAAGCACAAAACTCACGCACCTTAAACACAAGACTTACGCACCTTAAGTACAAAACTCATACACATTAAGCACAAAACTCAGTACACATTCACGCACAAATCTCATGCACCTTAAGCACAAGACTCACGCACCTTAAGTACAAAACTCACGCACATTAGTCACCCACACAACCGCACGGGAGACACTTACCCGCACTGGAACTTAATTATATATATATATATATATATATATATATATATATATATATATATATATATATATATATATATGTGAGAACACTTGCTTAAGTGGGAACGTTTGCATCCATCTAATATTTTTTAATGGTCAAGATTAGATTAAGTGTGTGCGAACGCGAATTAAATGTGTGCAAACGCGATTAAGTGTGTTTGCACACATTTAATTCGCGTTCGCACACACTTAATCTAATCTAGACCATTAAAAATATTAGATGGATGCACACGATTTATTCTCACGTTCTCACCTAAGTAAGTGTTCTCATTGGAACCCTAATATATATATATATATATATATATATATATATATATATATATATATATATATATATATATATATATATATATATATATATATGTATGTATATGGATCATTTATCTGCTTACTATTCACTACTATCGCAAGTCAATATTTTTCATCCACCAGATCAATGATTAAATATATTTTTCATCTTTTTATTTTTTTAAATGGTGGACTACTCTTTTATCTGGATGAATCAGAATACGTCACATAAGCAAGTAAAAGAATGTATAAAGATTAGGGCGGAGTATGTAGTGTAGTGTTACTCATTTATTCATTGAAATAGTCAAATTATTAGAATAGAAGTGACATTCTTTGATACTAATTGTCAATATCAAACATTTACTCTTACATTAAAATATATAATTAGTAGTAACCGCCATTTTTTTATTATTATTTATTATAGGATAATGAACTTGGTCTTCCAAACCTCAACCCAACAACCATCAAAGTAATGAGGCCTTTTTATGAAAAAATCTTAGCTTAAACTTATTCGACAATATGTTTTTGTTTTTTTCATTGCAACTATATCCAACCTTATTTTTGTTGTAATTGAATTACAATTACATCCAACCAATTCAAATTACATTGTTTTTGTTTAATTTTTGTGTGGTGTGGTTAAGGATCATATTATTATTTTTTTAAGGAAAGAAACTAATGTTGTGTTGAGGCAATGACATCTTTATCACTCTTTACTAGTGGTTAAAAATAAAATTTTATACCAAGATAAAGATTTGTTTAACTAGTTTTTACCATGATAAATAAATTTTGACCACTCTTTATCAGTGATGGGAACTTTTGACCATATTCCAACCACCGGTAAGAAAAGTTGAATGGTCTAAAAAAGTGGTAAAAATATGTAATTTTTCAAAAATGAATGACTAGTGTCTTTTGCAATTTGAGGATAACGTTGAAATATTGTATGCAAATTATGTTAAAATTCTTACAATATAACATATGCAACAAGTATAAATGGCCAAGACAAGTAACAATGAATCATTTTATGGAAATAATACTATAGAACTTATATATTATTAATCATTTAATTGATAAATGTATAACAATTACAGTGTCTAAAATACTAATAACAATTAACAATAACTAATGTAATTAAACAATGGTAAATATCATTTAAAATTGTTCATAATAAAATTCAAATTTTAATCTTACTCAAGTCAAGAAAGTAATAAAGTTGCACATTCATTATTAGTTATACTTTTTTTTTGCGTACTGATAAACACTTGATATGACAATTAATATCAGGACGTGAGGAGATTGTAATTGGATGGAAGTTTATAGGATTGAGTCTAATATATTAAGATGTCGAAATTTAACACTTACTGTTACGTAAATTATAAATATAATAAAACAAAGTTGCATGTTAGCTTGCATTTAATCTTTTTATTAGTATATCCTTAAATTAATAACAATAAACACACCAACTAATAGATTGATTCCTAAAATCCACTGTCAAATCTTTAACTCCAATTTTCATATGATATATGTTGTTTAGCTAGATAAATTAATATTATTTGACTTGAAAAAAAAAAAAGGAACATGGGAAAAAAATCTAACTGGCTAGGTTGTGGTTTGATCATCGAGTGGTCTGAACTTTTTGCCTTTATATACAGGCAAAGAAGTTATATTTTAAAATATAATTTGTATTAGCATACCACTATCTATCCCCCATTTCTTTATTATTCTTCAATGAATGAACGTTTTGTCTCCAACGCAGCCCTTCTCCGGCGCGGCCATTAGCCCCTAAACCTCCCTCTCCGACCCACAAAACACTTACATGCCATAGTCGATCAGATTTGTGTGCTCATCTTTTTAGGGTTTTTGGGTTTCAGTTTTCGAATTCTTGATTTAGGGTTGGTGAGGCAAAAATGGAGAACTACAATCAGCTAGGAGAAGAGGCGGCGGCTGCGGCCCAAAGGGGTGGCACTAGTAGCTTCTTGTACTGCGGCTCCGTCCTTGCACCGCCGAGTTATGGTAGAGCCGGCGGCGGCGGCGGCGGCGGCGAGTTCCACCTGCAACAACCTTACGACCCAATAGTGAAGACCGAAGGGGGAAGCACTTCTCATAACCATCATCACCAACGGTTTGAGAGTGAAGTGGAAGCCATAAAGGCTAAGATCATTGCCCATCCCCAGTATTCCAATCTCTTGGAAGCTTACATGGACTGCCAGAAAGTTGGAGCTCCGCCGGAGGTGGTGGCGCGTCTCGCGGCGGTGCGCCAAGAGTTTGAGTCCCGGCAGCGAGCCTCCGCTCTGGGTGGTAGAGATATTTCCTCCAAGGACCCAGAACTCGACCAGTTCATGGTCAGTATATATGCATACATACATATATATACTAAAAAAGAAACACCCTTTCTTCAATTTCTGCTGTAAAATTAACTTCGATGAAATCCAGGAAGCGTACTATGATATGTTAGTGAAGTACCGAGAAGAACTGACGAGGCCTTTACAAGAAGCAATGGAGTTCATGCGACGGATCGAATCGCAACTAAATATGCTTAGCAACGCTCCAGTCCGGGTCTTCACTTCCGGTACTTCATTTCTTCTTTCTGCAACTCTTTAATTTTTTTTTTTTAAATTTCTGGGGTGTGGGTATAAAAAAAGATTGAAACTTGGGCTAAGATTATCAGTCAGATTTACACTTTCAGTAAAAAAAAAAAAAAAAAAAAGATTGAAACTTTGGCAGTAACATTGATCGTAGAAATATATATTTCCCAGGAAGGAAACAAAACAAAATGGAATAAAGTTTATAGGGGCAGTTGAAGTCCCATATATGAAATCGATTTTCTTCTGCTTTTTCCTTTCTCGTGCAGTGCAAGAACTGTTCGTTCATTCAATACTTCAACGCTGTACTCAATTTCCAAAGCCATGTCTGATTGATTGCCCGTTTCTGATATGACCATATTCTTGAATTTTCCTCTTTTTTTTTTTGGGTGTTTGTGTGTACTATACTACTATGTACGTATAGTTTACTTATATATATATTTATGGAGATTAACAGAAACCCTAATCACGAGCCTATAGTAAAAGATGCGGTTTGGTTCCATTATGGGTTAAAAAATGTGGGAAAGAACAGAAATCCTCGTCAGAAACGATGATGAAACTCATCACACGTTTGCTTGTTTCTGACAAACACTATTAATATTATTATTAATAGTTAATAGTTATTAATACTTCTTTCATTCCCAATAAACAAATTTACAGGAATAACGTTTTGGGTAGTGTTTGAATCTGCGGTTTTCGATCTTGGTGCGATGTTTTGTATGGGAAATGGGAATCGGATGTGCATATACTTTGGCCGGGTTGAGTTTGTATATATTTTATTCCAGGTGGGGTTTTTTGCTTTTTTTTTTTTTTGGTTGCCTTAGGAACATTGGTTGTGTTTTCCTGGGCCTATGAAAGTTGAAGAACATAGGATGCTGTTCGTATCACCCATGTATGTAGTAGCCTGTCTACTATGCTGTCAGATTTTTTTATTTATTCTCAGATTTAGTTTGCACTGCTTTCTCTCTTGGTTTTGGGCTTCCTTAATTACTACTGTGTTATTTACCTGACTGCTTTTTCTCATATTTCTTGGTTTCCTCTTCCTAGCACCTTCCATTTCTTGCATCATCATTTTTTTCTGGGTATAATAAGAATTCGGCTTTGCAGACATCCTATAGTTTAGTGTTCATAGTGCTCAATAGTGTCGATTTGTTGCCTTGTTACGTTAAATGAATTGGAGTATATGCATGTATAAATGTCTATTTGATGGTAAACTGCATTCTTAATTAATCAGAAACCAAACTTCCTGAAATTGTTCGTTTTGGGGAGTCTTGGAGATCTCATCTGTTACAAGAGATGAAACATTATGTGCATTGTTGTTGCCATACATTGTTTTGGTTCTGCCAAAGAAACATAGGGGAGTCCAATTTCCTTTTCATTCTTGAGAGGAGAAAAATGGGTGGGCATCAAAATCTCGAGGCGGGAGAAGGTTGATCGTGATGTTAATTATATATCTTTTCTTACCCTTTCGCTGTATGTGTTTAGTGAAGTTATATATAGTAAAGGTCGTATCTAACAATATGATTTGTCTAAGTTACTCTTTTTTTGAAGAGAATAATATTACTATACGATTTAAGTAGAGGAGCGTGTACATCTCATGAATGGATTGTGCTTAGTTTTCCTTGGTTGTTTGTGTAACTTTGATACAGTGTCTGGGTTTGTTCATTTGTCGGGTAAACTTTGAATGGGGCATAACAAGGAGCGCTTTTAGTATGGGATTCGATTTATTATCGTTTTAGTATGGGATTTGATTCTTGATATGAGAACTGTTAGAAATAAATATGATCGATCATGGCAGTTCTTGAATTATGGGAACTGTTAGCATGGGATTCGATTCTTGATATGATATAATACATATATGTCTGTTTATTTTGATTTAGACAAAGATACTTAACCATGAGACTGCAAATATATCATTTGCATTATACGTTTCAATAGAGCTTTGTGCGACAGAAACAATTATATATACTCTGGAACACTGCATATTTTACTGTTCGATTATGGAGTTTAGCTGCTACTAGTTTTGACGATTGGTGAATGGACAGATGACAAATGTGAGGGTGTTGGTTCCTCTGAAGATGACCAAGATAACAGCGGTGGTGAAACCGAGCTTCCCGAGATTGATCCTCGGGCTGAAGACCGCGAGCTGAAGAACCACTTGCTGAGGAAGTACAGCGGTTATCTAAGCAGTCTGAAGCAAGAGCTTTCCAAGAAAAAGAAGAAAGGAAAACTCCCGAAAGAAGCGAGGCAAAAGCTGCTCAACTGGTGGGAGTTGCACTACAAATGGCCTTATCCCTCGGTACAACTAAAAGTCTAAGCTGATAGCCAGATTCTACATTTACATTATATATATATTGTTAGATTAGATTACAGCTCGGAGAGCTAAGTCTAGCATCTTGTTACCAAAACCTAACCCTGATTGCTAATAAACTTGTGCATTCGTTACTAGCTATAACGTTTGATTCTGACGTATATTATGCTCAAGCTCGGTTGTTGTTGTTTCCCAGGAAACGGAGAAGGTGGCTTTGGCTGAATCGACCGGGTTGGATCAGAAGCAGATTAACAATTGGTTCATCAATCAAAGGAAACGGCACTGGAAGCCTTCCGAGGACATGCAGTTTATGGTGATGGATGGTCTGCATCCACAAAACGCAGCTCTTTACATGGATGGTCACTACATGGGAGACGGTCCGTATCGCCTAGGTCCATAAAATGTCGACTTCCATTGATGCATATCGAGTTTTTTAAGGTTGTAACTTAGGACATCATGTATCTGCCGGAGACCCTACCGCCTTGAAATGTGCACGTACACTATGCCTGCCTGCCGGCCGGCTTGCCGGGAATCTTGAACGAGGGGATTGGAGCTAGCTAGGTTAACTTCTCGTTTGTCGTCTGATCTCTGCAACTTCGGGTAACCTTAGCAAGCAAGATTTCTCCGCAACTATGAAGGAAAGTAGGGCCGTTTTTATGTATTTGTAACGAGTTTGATGTAGTAAGCTAAGTTCAATTGTATATGGTGAAACTGATGCTAGTAAATAATTTCAGTTAGCCTATATATAATATTATGATTATGATTTTAGTCCTTAAGTTATCTTGTGGATTGGAATGTGTTATATTTATATTTATATTTTTTTTGCACATAAATCATTTTAACGAAAGCATATTTTTCCTTTGAATGAGGTTCATTTTGTAATGAATAAAATAAGAATTATATTTTATTATTTGATTGATTTTTAAATATATAAATTTGTAAGTGTATACACGTATGTATATACACTAAATAAATAATTTGACCAGAACTTTAAAAAAATGACACGACATTTAAAAAATTAATCTGACCAGAACTTTTCATGACACCCTGTGGTAACTTTGCTCCATGACACTTCCTGATATGTCCAAAAAAGACACTATTTGACTTTTATTTTTTACTGCGGTAAAAAATGTTTCACCTCTTATTGGGTTTACACTTTACAGCCATTCAGGTTTGTTGGACCAAATTAATCTTGATTGGGCCATGGATGCTCATTGCTAGGCTGAGTCCACGCCAAAGCCTTATCGTAATGTTTACAAAAGCATTCACAAATTTGCATTTGGGTAGCTTCAATACTACACTCATTTCTCTCTCTCTCTTTCTATGGTGACAAAGTTGACGGAATTTGCCTCGATAGGCGTAGCTAGGTGAGTAAAGGTTACAAATTTAATTTTTGTTAATACTTTATTTATTGAACTTTTAAATTTGTTAATACTTTATTTATTGAACTTGTCATACAAAGTATTTTTAGTGCAATTTACTTATCATGTGGTTCTTTGTGGTTTGATAGCTATCACTTCTATCATTTTGAAAATGGGAAAATGGCACTTTTTCCCCCTGTATTATATATTTATAGTACTTTTTTCCCCTATATTATTTAAGTGGTAAATTTTCCCCCTGATATATTAAATGGACATATTTACCCTTAAAATAAATATTTCCTTTATTTTACTTCTCAACAAATTATAACCACAATTTGAAAAAATAAAATACATTAATTGTTGAATTTAGAATACTTTAAAAATAAAAAAATAAAATTTTAAAATAATGTTTGAACCAATAGTTCAAATTGGATCCGAAATTGTGAAACAACGATTCAAAATAAAAACCAAATCGCGATTATATATACTTATATGTGAGAGTCAATATAAATGCGAAAAAAACATACACTATTTGCAAATATTATAATTCTAATTTTAAGCTATTGCTAGTAGTTGTTCCGATTTGAACCTCTGGTTCACGGTTCAGAATCTATTTTTTTCACTTCACAATTTTAATAAACGGAAACCCAAATATTGGGTTATGTTATGAATCATAACCGATTTTTTTTTTATTTGATTGCTATAGTGTTCGGTTCAGTTCGAACCGAACCGTGGCCATCCCTACGTATAAACAATAATTTGTTGAACAAGAGAAATAAATAAAATATGTATTTTAAGGGTAAAAATGTCTATTTAATATTATCAGGGGAAAAACCGCCACTTTTATAATAATTGAGGGGGCAAATGTGGATGCATGAATAACTCAGGGGAAAAAAGTGCTATAAGCATATAACATAGGGGGAAAAAGTGTCATTTTCCCTTTAAAAATAAAGTTCATTTAATGTTCCTAATTGAAATTTAAAAAAAAAAAAAAAAAAAAAAAAAAAGATACAAAGGAAGTTCTTATTTCTTGGCCTCATGTTCTTTACGAAGTACTTTTTTTTTTTTTTTTTTTTTTTGGATATATTTATGGAATTTTCACTGTCGGACACAGTGACTAATTCCCTCACTGGATTTCTTTTGGTTAGACCACGAGTGTCCTAAGCAAGTCCTAAATATATAGCATATTTAGATTCATCCCCTTCCACACTGGGTCGGCCCGATTAAGGGGCAAAGTACTGACCAAATTGATTTTTTTAAAACGAGAAAGGGTCTAAACTCCTGACCTCCGTCCCTTAAGAGACAGGATTGCACGATCACTCACGCTAACCAAGCTGGTTAGATAGATTTTATTTTATCAAGCAATTAAGATGTTAAAACTTAAAAGCATGAGAAAGAGTCAAAATTTGGCCAAGCAGCCGACATTTTTAGTATTTTAATTCAAAAATCATGACATTTTCTAGTAATAAGATCAATCATGCGCCTATCGGATGGATCTAATTCAGACCTTCTAACATCATTAGACCTTTTTTCATACATGTTTGCAGTAGGATCTGAACCCCCACCCTATAGCCTTTAGTAATGATCTTTAAATCAGGTGACGAACCAATTATGCTAAGCCCCAAAAGTTATTAACTTATTATTACTAGACTTTTGATGAAGGAGTTGAGCGTTCTTTGGTTCATCATTGTGTCTAGCATGAGACCCTAGTGTCTTCTTTTCTTAGGGTGTTCGCCTTCGTCACTTTTTTAAAAAAAAAAATGAAAAATATACAATTTTATTTCTTTATATATATTTGCTTTGTAGCTAGTATAGTAACCTAAATTGCTGAACTTGACAACGCGCGGGATGGATAGTCAATGGATAATAATCACAAACAATTGTCATAAAACTAATGTATGATTAGCCACACAAACACACGCAATCCTCAATTGGAAGTACGTCTGCAAGAACCATAATAAACGACATTGATGAACTTAAAGAATGATTAATATAATATTATTACATAAGTTAATGCTGTTTAACAAATTGTTAATTAAATTAAACGCAAAAAGAACAAGTAAATGGTAGTTTAAACTTTTAGGGCGGCGTGCAAAAGTCGGACAATAGTCATACGTGAATAATGACGAATGGAAGAGATTATGATCATCAAGATGTTAGTTAATGATTAGTGTGTATAATTTATTTGGCGATTGACAACTACGCGCTGATGTCCCCAAAAGATTAACATTAATTATTTTCGGAGTTAATGTTATCTACAATTCAATCATCATAATTGTTATGAATAAAAACTCTAAAATTAAAAGTAATATTATTGCTATCGATGCAGAAATGTCATTCTTGTACTCGGCCAACCCAACTAAGTTGATCAGATAATTTACTTTGTATGTATGTTACTTTTTTGTTTGAGCCAGTCCCCTATAGGTTATGTTTTTTTCTTTTTCTTTTTCTTTTTTTTTTTTTGAAAAATAGGTTAAGTTTAATTTGATTACCTCATTATGGCGACTAGAATCATAAGGCGGACTTCATCTTCATTTCTTTCAGAAACTCGCAACTACTATCTGGCACTCAAGTACGAAAATCATACTCCACTCACTCCATTATTATTTTTGGGCTCAAGTACAATAATCATATTCTACTTATTCGATTACCCTTATCGAGAGTTGACAATCTCAATTTATAGCATATAATGAATTAAACTCGTGATTTCCAAATACAGAATCATCATTCTCCCACATAACTATCTTAATTTTCTGGGGTGGCAATTAGTATACACTACTGGAAATTATGGAATTTCCGACCACCTGAAAGTGATCTTATATCAAAATGAAAGTAAAAAGTGGTCGGAACTAGTAGCAAAGGTTTTTTTAGATACCAAAAGTGGTCGGAACAGCAGTGAAATTTTCTATATATGTATAGATAGATATTTGAAGTTTGTAGCTGAGATGGGTATTAAATAAACACACATAATCAAATTAGTATCCTTTACATACTATTTTGAGGTGAAAAACTTGGGTAAAAAAGATAATTCATATGAACATATTAAACTCACTTCTTGAAGAAATAAGCAATTTGAGTTAGATTTAAGGCTTCTGTAAGATGAGAATTATAGTTTTTTTTTGTCAAGATTTTCATTTGAATTAAATCAATTCGAGTTTACAATACGATATTCTCTACACATATATAAACATAATATAATTTTACAGAAGTCGACCTCTGATATGATCTTTCTAACAAGCCTCGGAGGGATTCAAGAATGATCGGAAAAGGTGAGATTTTCCTCCGGCCGAGATAGAAAATTTGGCAGAGCTGTCGGTGGAGCCACCGTAAGTCCTCTCGCAGGAAGGGCACATGGTGAGCGTCGCCGCCATGTGAAACGGCGGCGCCGCCGTCGTTGTCTGGTTGGCGGCTGCTTTGAGCTCCAGCAGTTCCTTCTGCAGCCTTCTGTTCTCATCCGTGAGGGTTTCGTAGCACTTCCTTAGTACTTCATAGTCCACTTCTGTCTGCTTCAGTTTCGTCCTCGCTCTTCGATTCTGGAACCACACTTCCACTTGTCGCGGCCGTAAATTTAGCCTTCTCGCCAATTCTTGCTTCTGTTTCTGCAAATTAGGGAACAAAAAGTTCAATATTCAGTCATTTATACACCAAGATTGAAGGTTAGAGGATCAATCATTGCTGGAAATTATGGAATTTCTGACCACCTGATTTTAAGTTGAAAGCCAAAAATGGTCAGAAATAACAACAAATATTTTTTCCGAATACCAAAAGTGGTCGGAACAAGGCTTTCGAATTGATTTAAGATCACTTTCAAATGGTCGAAAATTTCATAATTTCCAACAGTGGATCCTTATAAGATTGCACTGTAATATTAAAAGAGCTCTAGGTTAAGGATTCTGGGCAGATGTAAAATCGAACTTGATAGTTGCAGTGTGAAAGTTTCATTCTATTGTGGGCACCAGAGACTGTTCTGGTTACTAAGTCACAGTGATTTACTCGTCTACAATAATTCTATCAGATTGGGTGAGAAGATCTGGGATAATTTTATTTTATCTTTTGTAAGCAAATTTTAATGTTACTCAAGTTGAATCTGATTAGATTAGTCTTATTAGATTAGTCTTACAGCGGTGGGGATAGCAAGAAGATTTGCAGATAAAACAAGAAAGAGATTAAGAAGGAATTGAAAAGAAGAATTACAGAATTGAGAGTGGTGTGTTGTTTGAAGCTGTCTTCCAAGACAATCGACTGTTGTTTGGTGAGCCTAAGTTTCTTCCTCGTACCGACAACCTCTTCATCATCCTGGTACTCATCCCTGCAGGGAGACCCTTTCTCCGCCGCCTCAAGTTCATCTTCTTCGCCGCCGCTGATCTCTCGTTCCCTCTTCAAACTCGAGTCCGAGAACGACGACGGCGCCGCCGCCGGAGAAGCCTGCTGCAGGCAACAGTTCATCATCATCGCAGTGCTCCCGTCGTTCATAGCTTCAAACTTCACTTCCCACGGCAATCCCAGCGAGAGGGACGGCAGATAGTTGTCGGATATCGGGGAAGGCGGCTTTGATCTCTTGTTTTGCCGATAAACCTGGCGATGAAGATCATCGGATCCTAGGCTGAGAGTGAGTCTGGTGCTGTAGATGTCCTCTAATCCCATTTTATTTTTTAATGCAACTTTTGAGGTGTTTGTAGTGGTGATGGGATGAATTGGGTGGAGGGTAAAATATATATATATGCATGTAGTGTATCAGTGTATGTATAGGTGTAGCTAGAGGAGCAGGAATTAGAAAAGAATCTCCCAACTGATTATTTATTTATCATATTATTGAATTAAAGAAATATAATTAATCCACACCCCCGCCCAACCTCCACCTCTGTCCCATCCCACCAATATAGGGGTCAAACCCTAATACACCACTCAACTTATCAATAATGTCAAAATACATGTCCGGGCAACTCAACTGGTCATAGGGATGAAATTTGGAAAAAATGACCAAGAATTGAACAAATGTCTAGCCTTTATGGTTCAGTTGAGTTACCATGATTTACATCTTTCCAGATGCTCTGTCAGGTCGAGGTGTGGGGGGCCCCTAATCGTAGAAGACACCTTTAAGCCCGTATCATACTCAGACTAATCCTCATTCGCACTGGGCTGGTCCAATTAAGGAACAAAGTGTTGACCAGATTGACTTTTCCATACAAGAGGAGGGTTCAAAATCTCGACCTCTCTTAATTAAGGGACAAGAGTGCATGGCCACTCACGTCAACCAAACTGGTGATGTATTATATAATATATACTATACATTCTTGTCTCGTTTTATGTATCCTCCCAAATGCTCTGTCGGGTCGGGGTGTGGGGGACCCTTAGGGTTGGGGTTCAGCTTTTGGAAGAATGTATTAAAAAAATGTATTGCCATCGTAGATGGATAACAAATTGTTGGACAGTAATTTGGAAAGTCAAATCCAACATTATAGTATTGAAATGTGAGGCAAACCGTTACGAAAATATAAAAAATAAAAAAATAAAGTTTCATCTTCACGCTTGATCTGACAATTGTAACAGAACAGGTTATTAGAAGTGTTACTTCACACGTATAAGGAAATAAAGTTGTGTATTGACAATATATATAGAGTAATAGAATTCTTCCAAAAGGCTGAACCCCAATCCTACTTTAGAAATTTTGTTTTTGAATGTTACTGGCTCTATTACAATGTAGAGTAATAGAATTGATGAGGGTATGATTGGAGTATAGAGCAGATTATTTTGAGATTTGGGTGCGTCCTACTGTGCAATATAATTGATTAATTATATGATTGAAGAGTATTAAAGTAGGAATGGTTAAGGTATGGATGTTAAGGGGTAGCTTTCAATGTGTATACAATGTATGAAACCCAGACACTCCTCATGCCACTAATAAGGACTCCAGCCCCATACTTCCATTACTTCTTTAATAAGGATCATAAATTATTTTTATTTTTGTTTTTTGTTATCACGTTATATTTAAATTAATCAAAAAATTATACAAATATCTTCAAAAGTTTTTAAAGTATTGATATGATTATATTATATTTTGAGAGTGTGTTGAAATTATAAAGATGTAGAGAAAATAATAATGGATTGAAATATATATGTTCTTCCAAAAGGCTGAACCCCAATCCTAAGGGCCCCCCACACCTCGGCCCAACAGAGCATTTGGAAGGATGTAAATCAGGCTAGACCGGTGCTCACTACGCACAAAGAGCCCTACGCACAAAGAGCCCCCCTCACTTTGAGAGGTTGCTCCCACACTGCCGCTGGTGAGACTCAATCCCTGGTCATTCTTCCAAAGTTTCACCTCTATGACCAATTGAGCTACCCATGCGGGCGATTGAAATATATATGTTGATATCACACTATGCTTGTTTTTAAAAATAAAAAGAATTATATAGATAAAGATAGTCTAAAAGGCATGTTTAGTAAAATTAATTTTATCAATTCTGTTTGAACATAGAGAGTTTAAAATAATAGTTTATTTTGAAAGTAACGTTTCAAAATAAGCTATCTAGTTTTAAGCTTTTAGCATTAAGCTAGCTTATAAACTAACTATACCAAATAGGACGAAATTTGAAATTCAAACTTATGCTGTAAGAAAATTATAGACTGAAATCAAAGACATTATTTATATAAACATAAGACTAAATTAAAATAATATTAATACAACTATATATATATGAGTGGAGTCTTGGTGGCAATTGGATTAGTGTTTGTTTTAGGTTAAACTGTGTGCAATGTTCACGATTTCTTTTAATTTTATTTTAGGGCAGAAAAAGTTTAATTTTAATACATTTAAAATTTTTTAATGGTTTCGATCATCTTAATCTTAATTATATTTAATTACCTATCCTAGTGCATCTAATATCTTGTAGAATTGAACACTTGACCTCTAATTATTAAAGATGAATGAGTCCCTTCCACTCAACTACATCCCCAAGTTATTTGTACCCTAGTATATTGATATTTAATAGTATTTATAAATAGATTAATTTAATATAATTAAATTGGTTTTACTTTTTAGTTTTAACATTTTTATCTTATAATTTACAGTCCAAATCCATCTTCGTCAATACATCTGCACCAGCCAGCATGTTGTGCTTTAATTTATATGGACTTGAGCAACCAATTTGCAGTGGGGTTAGGGAAGCTATGCTTTTCTACTGTAATAAATCTTATCCACCGACCGTTTCTTAATGTCCAATAGATCTTAAGAAGTTGATTACGACGTTAACTCGCTTCAAGGTTTTCACCTTTGATTTAAAAAAAAAAAAAAAAATTGTAATTATTATCTGAATGTGCACTATAAGTGAAGTTTGTGTTTTGATTCTAGTTCAGAGAAAATCGCAAGGAGATAAATCAACTTGGATTATCCATAGCTGACTGACTTATTAAGAAGGTTAATAGACAACTCCCATTGAGAGTGAAACTTGAAAGTCGGCAAAGGACCACAAAGATATAAAATAACTTAAATTGCCATGGCTGATTCACTCAAATAAAAAAAGATTAATATATAACTTTCACGAAGTTTTTTTTTTTTTTTTTTTTTCGAATGCTACTGACTCTATTACATTGTAGTATATGTTCACGGAGTTAAACTTGAAATCTTGTGATTACTAAGTTAACTGTACAAACTTAGTTTTGGGTTGCCCTCTTCTGTGTTTTAACCATTCATTAATTAAGTTTAATTTCTCTATAAAACTACTGCAATAATATAATGAATAAGATAGAGCTTAGAAATGGACGATGTCAGCATTAGAAAACACATGTATATAATTGGCTGATCGGAGGATGTGCAGTGGATCGGAGCACTTGTTAGTTGTTACCCCGGCCATATGGATAATATATATAAACTTAACGGATATAGATGGTTACATTATTATTTAATTATTTGAATTCGTGCTTGGTTAATATTAATCTAAAAATGTCAACATTTATCTTATCTAGTTAGCCAGGAACATGAATAATAAAAGGATTGAAAGCTAATTAAGAACACATTCTTATCTCGAGAATAAGTCTACAAGCTACTTGTAAGTCTGCATGGATGTTTAAGGATGTCTATACATGTTTTCTTAACCTATTGCGTTCAAACTTGAGACCTTCCATTTGAGAGAATCGTCACAACTATGCAGCTTGACCATAAGTTCAAACATATAACTCAGAGTATACATAAATTTATAATTAATTATCTATCATAATTACCGTAAAGACGGGTAAAAGTAAAAATAAAAACATATATACCATGGATGCATATATATATTATGAGTGATGAGGTATATATACATGCATGAAGCTAGGGTGAATATGACATGAAAGCTAAGGTAGGAATGAGAGTGACAGATGAAAGAGGAAGCTAATTAAGCAAAGTATAGAATAGTAAGTAGGGAAGTAGGATCCACCAATGATTTGGCATGATGGGCATTTGATTCTTTGGAGAGGTGAAGGGATGATTTAAAGATGATTATTATTAATTATTAATTGATTGAAAAAATATATTTGAAGGGTACAAGTTGGCAATCATGAGTGGGGGAAATGTTGGAGATAAGGTTTCAGATGTGTTTCCGCCCTTTACGCCCACCCCGACCAGTCTTAGTGTTTGTTTGTGCTTTCTGTTTGGCATTTTCACATCTTTTTTCCTGCACCCCTCAATGTCTTGCTGCCAAATATATCATTTTTCTTTTCTTTTCTGTCTTCTATGTATTAAAAAAAAAAAAAGATTAAACCTCAATCTCCAAGTATTTATGTATGTAAGAGGTAAATTATAGGATGATATATATGTTCATGTAATATACGTGTCCTAATGGTCTACACAATACTCTACGGTTGGTAGGTGTTGGCCAGATCTATGACCAACCAGCATCCTACCATTGAAATGTTACATTAGTATAAATCACTGAATTATAATTTTTTTTAGGGCATGTAAAAGATTCACGAATCGGTGAATAGTATATATGTATGAACACACATAGATAGATGCTTTTAAAAATGGCCGGTAATATAATTATCATCCCCATTTGATTGTGGAATGGGAATCTAATGATAAAATTTAAGCCCAAGAATTAACTATATAGGAACAAAAAAAAAAAAAAAAAAAAAAAAAAAAAGTGGACATATTCTTCAGATATAATAATGGAGATGTAGAATGTCAATAAAGGCTCAAATGATGTATGGAATAAGTTCCGTTGTGGACAAAAGAAGTAGAGTCAGAGCTACATGAATATATATGAGATATCTTCTTTGATTGCTTTCATTTTCCTGGTGAGAGCATCACCATGTCACCGACTTTCTATAAAGCATTGCCCTATTTTCAACCCCATTTTATTTGTCTCTCCCATCTCCTGTTTCTATGTCATACATACACACATATATACATATACAAGTTTTCTATGGTGCGGATAATATTGAGTACATTCATGTATAATATGCAAATTATACTAATCAAGTATATATTATATTATTGACATTTGCCCTGCTGAAGTACCTTGAGTAGTAGCTCAATCAACGTTTAATCTTGATTCGAGCGGCATGGTGGAGTTTGGGCCCTATTGGGATTCTAAGGAGTATGTCATTAACGACTTTGACCAATGATCAGTCATTGGTTAAGATCTCTTGTGCACAAAAATGTACCGATGGTAGGAATTTGAAATTACTTGGGCATCTCGAGATTTGCCTCTTTCATGAGTCTTGGGATGAGTTTATATATATAGGGGTCCAGAATATAGCTTGGCAAAG